AAAAATATTACCCAGAATACCTTCTGCTTAAGCTTTTAAAACTTTTAGTTTGAATGCTATGGGAAGCCATTGGAAGATTTTGAGGAGGGAAGTGACATGATGTGATTTTAAGGTGACACATTTTAAAGTGTCTCTTTGACAGTCCTATTGAAAATACATTAGAAGGAGAAAAGGATGGGCAGAAAGGCAATTAGGAGACTATTGCAATAATCTAGGTGATATATAAGGTTGACTTGGACAAATGTAGTGTCCAAATGTAGTGGAGAAAGTGGGAAATGGAGATTCTCACAAATTGGTTGTTGGTGTGATGAAAGAGAAACAGAGGGTTGGGATGACAAAGGTTTTTGACATGAGGACCTGGAAGAATGAAGTTGTCATTTACTGAGCTAGCAAAGACTATGAAGGGAGAATTTGGGGGTGGAGGGGGTGTTAGAAACTTAGTTTTGGACATATTAGAGGTTTACTATGCCTAGTTGACATCCAAGTGGAAATGCCAAATAGGCAGTTGTATATGTAGGATTATGGAGTCCAGGAGATTGGATAACTCCAGCAGATTGGAGTTATTATTTGGGAGTTATCAATAATGTATGAAATGGTCAAGCTCTTTCATTTTCAGTATTGTGGGAATGACCAAGGAGTCATTTAATAAACATATTATCAAGCTGAGCACCTGCTTGGTGTGCACAGGTTTTAGACCTGAGTAGTTGAAGGAACATGGTATCACGTATTCATAGACAAGGAATGCAGGAGAAGTGCAGTTCTGGGGATAGGGTGGTGTGATCCGCGTCGGATGTGTTGCATTTGCTATGTCTGTGGAAGCGTCCAGGACACTTCCTGCATTCTTGGCTGAATAGGGGTGGAACTCAGGGACAGGTCTGGGCTGGAGACTTGGCCTGTATTTGGCAACTGAAGCCACGGGAGTGGTTGAGCTAGGCCAGGAGAAGCGTGAGTGTCCCGGCTGCCGAGAACAGGGATGACACATCTTCCTACATTCATTTCTCATTTCCCATAAGCGCCTGCCGTCATCATATAAAACGTCCTACGTCGACGGCTGCCAGAGAATACTTTTTATTCCGGGAAGCTCTTTCCATCTTTCTGAGACTGCGTTTAGAAGAAGAAACTCAAAACCATCCCCCGCCAGGGACAGGCCTTGGCTGCAGTGATGTCACTAAAGAGGCGGGCTCTCGAGGCGGCCCCGGCGTCGCTGGGGCTCGACCCGGGGCCGCGCTGGCCCCACCCCGGGGCGATTCCTTCCCCGCCGGCCCCCAGCAGCCGCCGTCCTCAGGCTAGCAGGAGCAGGTCGTGCTCGGCCAGCAGGCCCTGGGTGCGGTTGTAGACATCCTCCAGGGTGCCGGCGGCCCGGGCCAGCGCGACCCGCGCCTCCGCCTCTGGGGCTCCTGGGCACGCCAGCTCGAGCAGGCGGCGGCGGCCGGGGAAGGCGAGGAAGGCGAGGCGGGCGGCCTGACGGATGAGCCAGGGGTGATGCGGGGCCAGGGCCGCGCCGTAGGCGTCGCTGCACTGCACGCCGGC